TTCTTAATATGTCTCTAATTTGAAGTGTTGAACAGCTTTTCGGTTGTTTTTTTAAACCTTTTTCTCCTTTTTTTTGTCTTTGTTTCTGTTTTTTGCGTAATTTGTTGGTGAGATACCCTGTGCTGAGAATTCTATATTGTATCAAAATATAATATTGAATAATGCCATTAATAATAATAATATATCACCTAATACAACTCATTATGATTTAAATATTGATTATTCAATATTCTGATGTTTTTATATAAATGATACTTATTAAAAGTATTTTGGTTTTATATTCAGACTACTACACCGGTATTCAACGGTGTTAATGTCTAATATCAAACAATTCATGAAATTTTGCCATCGTTTACTATTGTCATCAATAAGTTACTATCTCACAACAGATCTGATTAAATTCTACTGATCTTGGCTTCTCACTAAAACTTCAGTAAATACTTGTTGAAGCTGGTCATTAGTGATTTTATATTCAAAATGTAATTGATCACAATGCATCTAACTCATCATATCTTATAGTTTTCTGTTAGCGAAGCAGATTAGATTTCATTGTTTAAAAATAATGTACATACATTGGTAATGAAACAGTTGTTGTTCATGTAATGCAGACTTGTGTAAAGTGTTGTGATCGGTAAATTTTCGCAATCTAGTTCTAGTTTAATAACTATTAAACTTTCTATTCTACATTGGTTTTATATTGTCTATTCAAAATAAAGATGACCATAAGTAGTTTTGTAAATTCAAAATTTACTACTGTATATATCAATTGTGCATTAGTTAAAGAATTTATTTCAGTGTAAACACTTTAATATAACTGATGGAACAGTGTAATCACTCTATGTAAATTACCTATTTTTCGATGAAAAGTAATGGTGTATCACTGAAACTTAAGTCTTACGAATTACTTTTGATAGTTCTAAGAAAAGGAGTGAATTTACTGAGTGAATTCTTCAAATAAAATGAAGAACTAAACAATTTTAATAAGTCGTTCATTAGACCTTGTTTGAAAACACTAAATATAATTATTTTTTAAAACTCTGTAGTGGATTAAAGTTGTTTTGAAAAACGGTAAGTAAATCAATGACTCATGACATTTGAATCTATGGAAAAATATACAAAATGAAATTTTTCATGTTGGATTCTCTATTCAATAGTGCTCCTGTTCGTTTCATCTCAATCGGGAAAACATCAAACATATCAAGCTACCGTCCATGGAAAACTGCCTTGTTCTGAAGATGCAGCTTATATTGAGGTGCACTTTCCAAATACGTATGAAGTAATTTCCCACTTTCGGTATATGAAGGGCTGATACAGATCATTCAACAACTCAATCATTGAATAGAATTGTAATTTCAATCATGAATCGTCACAAAGTCAAAAAATATCCAAATAAGTAATTTTTGCATGGATCAACTAGTACATGATATCGGTGTTCAGAAGAGACATGTTCGTTACCTTATTTTACCGTTGTCGTAACACCTGTTCTAATTTCATAGGTTGTTATTACAGCTTGTTCACCTATTCTCCACCTTTTACATAGTCGTCAAATGGACAGATACCTTTCCCATTTCATTTATGGATTTTTATTCACTGTCATTCTTATCACTATTACTTAATTTGTACTTGACAAATCAAATTGTCTGATTGTTTTTCACAACCTTGCCAAATAGAAGGAGAGATTACTTCCTATATTACTATAGAAAACTCTGTATAAAATCTTCCTTTAAATATGATTGTACAGCTCAACTAAAGAATACCTTCGAAAAGAGGAATATTTTGCCACTCCGTCGCCTTCATTTTTATAGCTTACGTCATGAGATCATCGTAGTTAGATAAACACTGAGAAGAAGAAATTATTGGAAAGTTGTTTTTTGCTAATACTTGACTCCTTGGCAGTGCGCATCCACGACCCCTTTGGAAATCTCAACATTTTTTTATAGTGAGAAACACTATATTCTTCCTAGTGGCTAACTTTGAAACATAATTTTTAGAGTTCTAGCGAGACTTTCTACCGTTCAGTTCAACTTTGTCAAAACTTAAATTTATCACTCACAGTTATTGATGACGATCACAAATATTGCCAATCGGTCTACTATGAGACCTAACTGTTCTCGGTTCTATCATCACTTTAGTCGTGCGTGCACACACGTGAGAAGTCCAATATTAGGAAAATAAACTGTATTATTCCCCTTGGTCTTCAGTGGCAGTCCGATTAAGATCAGTCCAACATACAAACCATGACTAAAGTACGTTTCATTTACTGAGTTCATTGTTTTATTTCAAGCATATTCTATTGTTGTTTGCCTCGAACAATTTATGATCTGAGAACTTTTCAGCCTTCTTATTTCCTTCCAAACGGTAACACAGTTGTTATAAGAAAGTAATACGGCTTTTGTCTCGTCTATCTTTTAGCTTTTCATCGTACACGTATCATCCATTCATTATCAACCTCACATCAACTCGTTTATAAAAGACTACTTATAAATTGGAATATCCCTATTAGAAATATTTAACTAAATCAAATTCATCATCATATATTGTTGTAATCAGAGAGGGGTTTTGTGGATATTATAGCAATTTAATAGTTGAATTTATGAGTCAATTGAAGCTAGACCATAACAGAAAACCTAGAACCACTGAACGGCCATTTCGTGATATTATGCCTCAATTTTGTGGATTGGTTAAAGTTAAACAATAACACCGTTGGATGCCGGCTGGCTCAGTGGTCTAGTGGTTAAGCGTTCACGCGCGAGACTGATAGGTCCTGGGTTCGAGTTTCACATGGCGGGATTGTGGATGCGCACTGCCGAGGAGTCTCACAGTATGACGAAACGGCCATCCAGTCCTTTCAGGTTTTCCATGGTGGTCTAGCTTCAATTGACTCATATATTATTGTATCTCAAGTGATTAATTTTTCTTTAAAATACATCAAAATTCTCTCATCATCAAATTAATGAGACTCAAAATCTATTTCATATTCTTTTATGTAAAGTTTACAATATGTAAAGATATTTTATGTTTTATAATTATCTTATTATTTTTTATTTAATTATTCAATAAAAACTATGAGCAGAATGAACGTTCTTTTAAGCGTTAATGTGTGAGACCGATATATTCTGAATCCGAATCTCACGAGTCGAGATCATGGATGTGCAAAACTGAGGAGTTTCATACAAGGACAAAACGGTCATCCAGTGCTTCCAGGTTCTCCATGATTTTTTGACTCATGAATTCAACTATTAAATTACTACAACATCCACAAAATCCCTTTTTGATTATAATTATAGATTACTTATGTTGAGCAATTATCTTTTACGAATAGATTATCGCCTGATATATTTTATAGGCCGTAATATAGATAGTTTATTATCTATCTCTTAGATTGTGACGTAATAGGTTTGTAATTTATTAAAGTCACGTAAAAATCCAGACTATTTACCTAGTTTATCCAAGAACTCATATTTACCCTATAATTGTAGAATTTAGGACTGAGAGATTATATGTGAGTGACTTATTTGTTAAATATGTAAAAGTAAGAACCGTTAATGGTTATCATAAATTAATAATTTACGAAATATCTCATTTATTATTTAACCTAATACTTATTACATTCTGAAACGAAATAAACACGAATTCTATGATTTTACCTGATATCCGAAAGTGTCCTGTTATCTCTATCTAATATTGTGGGATGTTGAGAAGAGAATATTTGTATCCTGAAGTATGTTGACAGTGTAGAACACTAATAGAAAACATTTCCTTTAAAGGTCAGAACATTAATAAATTTACTTTGTTAATAGGACATACTAGTGGATATTTAAACATGATTCCCTCCGAAAAGTTCAAGCTTATAAGGTTTACAAGTAGCAAACCACAAACAACGATATATTTTCAGAGATGAATTGGATTGAATGATTTCTTCTTCACAGATACTTTATTACGGTATATTTGTATTGAGAATCAGTTTCACATCTCTAATAAGTAGAAATAAGTAAAATTTAGTGTTTTGACACTTCTAACGTGCAGACTGAACTATCAACATATAATAGTGGAGTAGGGAATTATGTAAACTCTGATTGACTCATCACTGTCGAGAGCATCGAGCGAATTTGAAGTCCGACTTCAGAACGCAAGATGAATTACATCTAGAGCTTATGTACTACAATGGTTTGATATATTTTAAGTTTATATAAATCAATCAATGATTATAGTAGTAACTTATGAATCTCATCAGTATACCGGATAAAAATACATACTGAAATGTATCCGTGAATAAAAATGGGGAGCTTAATGTAAAGTTTAAACCGAAAATAACTTATTTCATTTCTATAGCTCTCGGGTTTAATCTAGCATAGTATTTAAGGCTTAGGAAAACTAAAACTGCTAAAGTTACTACATTCTGTCGCCCGTAGAAATTGATTCCAAACCGTATGTCATTGATTGTTAAAGTAACTACCTTCTAAAATCGAATATGGAACTTTTCAAATTCTTTTAATGTTATTCAACTTAACATTAAAAACGGATTAATTTTGAAAATGATTATATACCTGACGTTCGTTGGTAATGTTTGCCTCGATGTTTTACGAAGTGTTTTGTTTCCGAATAGAGATGTTACTCATCATAAACTGAATACAGTTTAGGTAATTATTCTTTTAGAGTTACGGCATATTTATAAAGATAAAAAATTAGCATCTTATGTCACATCTCAAAACGCCATTTCCAATGGGACAAGGTTGCTTAAAGCTAAAATCTCTGCTGAATAACTTATAAGTACGATAGTTGACGTAGGCCCAGAAGGTAAGATTATGGCGCACCAAGTTCACAACATGCAGTAATATTTCATAAGATTTAATCCATGATAATAATTTTAATAAACGAGTACCTTGAAACTTCTAAGTAAATTAATTATAAAATCCGAATACTGTCCAAATTTACAAGCTATATTTAAAAAAAAACACAGTTAAGTAACGAATCATTTAATTTTTCATCAAATTATAATGTCAGATTGATGTCTGATTCTCAATACAGTCATTGTCAACATCGACAAATCTTTCAGAATATAAATAAACAGGTCCAAGATGTGCTATAGTTGCACCAGATTTAGAGTCTGGACAAATAAAGGTAACCCCAGCTGGCCATTTAGATGGTGGATACAAATCTGTCACTTCATAATTTTCCTCATATGGATCACCCTCATAACCTGTTCTGTAATATAACTTTGCTGATTCATCGTCTGCATGAAATATTGGCGTAAGTATAGGTTCGACGTAAGCGTCCGCTTTGTAAATCGCTGAAGCATAACGATTATTATTATTAATATCATCATCATCATCATAATCATCTTGATAGGTTACGTCATTAAAATCACCGTTTATTCCATTATAGTGTTTCACTGGATCACTACCTTCTGTATCACTTGATTCAATTTTATCATTCATATTTTCATTAGATCCTTTTTCATTTTTTAAAATTGATGAAATAATACTAGTTACTGAATCATTTTGTGAATATTGTGACACCGCTTTACGTACATCATTTTCATTTTCCATTAATTCATTTTGATATAAACGATTTTCTAATTGACTTTGTAATTCATTATCAATTTCACCAGATTGTGTCCATACAATTGAACCAAGTGATCCATGACTAAATCTTTTATTATCATATAATGATGACATAGATAATGTACCAATTGGATTTAATTCAATTAATTTTCTTTCACTATTTTCACATGCTTGAACAAGTAATCTACACAATGTTTTAAAATCATCATCATCTTTAATTTTTGTACATTCATAAGCACGTATTTGTTGATTTTTACTAATAATACCTAATACAAGTATATTTTAATACCTTCAGATATATAAATTATTTCAATTTGTTCATAACTTAAATATAAACGTTTATATGAATTAGTTGGTTTTTTATAAGCTTTTATTCTTAAACCATTTTCTGTTAAATAAATCATACGTTCTTGAGATTGAATAGTTCGTTTTTTATTAATTAATTTCTTCATATATTCTTTATTAAATTCTTCATTTGGTTTTAATGTACGTTGTAGAAATAATTTTCCAGGACATTTAAAATAAATTAATTCATGAATATCATAATTGGTTTCTTTTATTGATGGTACCGAATTACTTAATGCATTCTTTTGAATTGATTTACGTGACATGATAATATATATATATATATTGACTTTCGTTGATAGGCACAGAATCAGATGGTAACAAAAAGATAAATAGAATTGATATCGCAGTATTTATATATATGTATAAATGTAATCACTGAGTATAATATTGTTGCTAATACAAGTAATTATAGAGTTGATTTGACTAAATATCAATAATGTAACCAATGATTATACTTCAAGAAGTTCAATAGAATATATATAACATATATGTCATAGAATTTATATTTTTTTAAAAAACAAACGTAGTAATTAATTAAGTAGAAATTCTTTCACTTTTCAATGAATTAAAGTAAATAAACATAAGGAAGTGATGTTAAAGTCACCGATATTGAAATAAGTCCTATCACTTTTAGTTTTGTTTTGTTTTTTAATTTTTTATTATTTTTTTTTGATAAATTTTACTGTCTGTCAGTTCATCCAAAAATCATTTCTGTACATAGTTCCACGTATGTATGTATATATATACTTGGAATAATGTATATTAGTGCACAGAACACAGATTGAACATTAATTACATACACTAAAGTAGGTGACTCATATAAATAGTAAATTGAATGAAGCCAAAAGTTTACACATCTTAATAACTTTGAACCAATTACTATGCATTCTACATAATCTAATAGAATAACATAAAATTTGGTCATTGTGTTCAGATTTGACCTGTAATTGAATCGATTAATTCATTCAGTATATTGTAGTTTCATAATTTCACTATTTTACATTTTAATGTACAAAAATCAATAGGTAACACAAAATATAATGAAACAAAATAAGAGTTATAATGTAATAGACAATGTGGGTAATCAATAATTCATCCGCTCTATGTTTGAATTGAGTAAATAAATCTAACTATAACAATGTAGACTGTTTATTTATTCTTGTGATGCTCAAATTTGAATAAAAAAAAATGTTTTTGGACATGTAGCACATTCAGTAATTGAATAATGCATAACACATTTTAAAATAGTCAGAATTTGTTTTTTTTTTTTAAAAAAGTTAAATTCATCTCATTATGATAAATAAAGAAGTGAAACTCAAGGTTAAATTAAAAAGTTTTATATATTCGATATACTGACTACTTATCATGAAATGGTGTATTCAAAAGTGATATTCTGATTACAGAACTATTGAGAAACTAAGACCTTAGATGATTATTGGACGCTTAAACAATTAGCTCACTTCAAAATATCATTTTCTGTAAGGTCTTCATTGCGCAAAGGAAGAGTAAAGGTTTCTTTGAATAATCATGTTGAGAATTACATCACGAAACCCAGTCTTTATATTAGAAGACTCTTGGCCAAGGCCAAATAGACAACAATAGATATTCTTTCCACACTTAGTTCATTTCACTTTTCACGCTCTTTGTATATCTATATTAATACTTGTATACAAACTAATTGCTCGGACATTTAGTTATTTTATTATCACGCAACTATTTCGACTATTATTTTGTTAAAGTTTTTAACAATGATCTGGTGTCTAGCCCAATAATATAAGTAAACTTCATGTTAATTAATTTATATTGGTTGTTTGAATCTTTCCATTGACAATTAAGACTGGAGTTATTTAATAAATTTTTCGGCATTTGTGCATCCTCTGCACATTGCCTCGATCTTTCCACTAATCCACAAGAATTATAAACAGAGGTCGATGGCGGTTAGGAGTGGAGTCCACGACACGTGTTTCGTCTTATTTGGTACTCGTTGACTGGATGTGCCAACATCCATCTCTGGTTACAATGCTTGTAACAGTGGGTAATACCGATACAATCCACACAGAATGTATACATCCCAAAAAGACTGAACAACTCCAGTCCTAACAATCAATGGCAATACGTGATGGCATATCAAAAGGAGCCGTTCTGGGTTCGAGCCTCATTATTAACTGTAACTTTGGGATGTAAGTAGTCCCAAAATAGGGCTAAACTTTCGTTTTCGATTCTATTGACAGGCACCATGCATCTTTATTATAAAATTCATGTTTATTGTTTTAAGTGCTACATAATAGTGAAACTTTACGTTAACACTTTGATTTTCTCGTTACTCGGTTGTTTGATAATATGAAAATATTTTCAGAGAAACGTTGTTCATCGATAACATTTTGATCAAAACACATACATCCAACTTAACGATCAAAGTTATATTCTAATGTTTTAGTTCAAATATGAATAAAGATACATTGTTTTACCAACATTTATAACTTTAAGGATAAAATTTGTATTAATAAAATTTGACTTAAAATCATCAAAAATAGTGATTGGATTGTATGAAAAATTTGGACGTAAGTAAATATAATTTAATGGATGAAATATGAACCTTATCTAACTGACTTCAAGAGGTAATTCCTGGAGTTATAGTGAGAAACAGTGATCAGTGGAGTTCAATCGGGTCTGTTATGAGATAGTAACTCACTGATGACAATGGTGGATGTGTCGCTCAATTTCGTGGATTAGTTGAAGTTAGACATTAACACCGTTGGATTGCGACCTGCTCAGTGGTTTAGATGTTAAGCGTTTGCGCACGGGACTGATAGGTCCTGAGTTCGAATCTCACGAGGTGGGATCGTGGATGTGCATTGCTAAGGTGTCTCACAATAGAACGAGACGGCTGTTCAGTGCTTCCATCTTTTCCATGGTGGTCTACCTTCAAATGACTCATGGTCTCAACTATTGAAATTCTTATTTAACTGTTTATTTTACTGTAACTTAACTGAGACTAAATAAATCAGACTTATAATATACAACATCATGTGGTTGAACTTCTGTATTAGTCTACTTAATTTACGAATTTTTCCCAGCTAATCTGTATAAATCTATCTAGTATATCGTAAATCTTGTAACTTTTAAGAAGATAAACAGAGCACAGTATCGTGATGGATATTGTTGGCAGTATTTTCAACATTTCTAATATTTTGTTTCATGGTCAAAAACGAAAAAAACGAAGAAAAGTTTACAAAGTTTAATTTTGCTACTGATTGTTTTATGTCTAACGACAGGAATGAATGAATTCTTTTGATGTGAAATTTCATGTTTCCTTTCTTGTTTTTTTTGCGATATCTCTATTAATCGCGGAACAGATAAAGGCCGTAAGGTCTAGTCTGTAAATTCCTCAATTCATCTACTCAAATATGTTTTTAAAACTACAAAAAATGAGTTTTTTGATTAGTCTCTGGTATTCAATATGACTGGTAAATAAATAGAGAACACGTTGCTAACTAGAATACATTAGATAATGTTTATAAATCAAGATACAATTACTTATCTCTATGTGTCCTGTTTTCTTTTTGTAAAACCCAATGCAGTTTGCTCTTAGTTAACCATCAACACAATAATAAATTAATATTTTATCAAATACAAACTTCAGGTGAAATCATGAGAAATGTTTCTGTTACTACAATTAAAGTTAAGCTCATATGTTCACTCTTTAGTAAAGTGAATTTATGGGTAAATCACGTGCTGTTCTTAACTAGACTGCAATTATAAAGATGCAAAAAATAGACCAAAAGCAACCTATAATTATGTTATTTTTCCTGACTGTCAAATAATAAGAAGTTTCTTTATCGTCTAATCGATTTTGTACAATCTCAACAATAACAATAGTCCGTTTATAATTAAAATATGTTTAACAGTTTACTCAATACTGAATTGTATTTCCTTCTTGGTTATTGAAAGATTAAGGGCATCAAATATTCAGAAGAAGGAAAGTTAATCATCCTATGATATCGCTGACATTTAACACATAGGTTAATTAATCTGAATGGCATATATATATATATATATATATATATATATATATCTGATACTGTAATTATGTTTTGGTAAATGTTACAACAATCTGAATTTTTTTAAGTCTAAGAAAATTCTTATCCAACTTATTATTAAACGATTTCCTTTTAATTTCATATGCTTGAAGAAAAGTATAACCAGGACTTTGTAATTTCAGCCAAAAATGTATTCCCTAGTGTTAACTAGAGAGTTCACCTATGGTATTTTTACCTTCATACAAAAACGACAGTGAAATTAAACAAATCTCAAAGTTAAATTATCTTTCAGTCATTTCATTGTGTAAGATGAGTGAATCCTCATAACACTCTCAACAGTACCTAGTCGTAAGTCCTGTCTACGTTCACACTCAAAGTGGTGATAATAGATAAAATTTTTCTAATCTTAGTTCCAACCTTTGAGACTTTGAGTACAAACGTTCTACTAAAACAATTAGATATTACTTTGACATATGACAAAATTTATCAGAAGAACCATTGAATTCAATAATTTGAAAAAAGCCATCATTATTTTTAGTCCGGATCCTTTGGATAGTAATGAGTTTTAGCTAAAATGACAATAATTTCTAAAAGAAAGCAGTAATCGAATTCATTCATCAAAATAGTTATTTACTGTTTTGTTATAAGAATGCCTACACTTCATCAAACTCATTCATTTCTCTTGAATTTATGTGCCAAAGTTTTAACAAAAACAAAAATTCCTTCTTTGATAAAATCCTCATGAAAGTTTTGTTATTTTCTGAGTTGAATCCCTACAGAGAAACTAAACAAGAAATGTCATCTCATTAAATGAACAGTCATAATGAAATAATAACTTTATCTTTAAATATGACACTTTTTAGTTAATATAATTTTGATTGAGCACATGATCACCAACAGAATAAAAATTATGTTAACTCATTTGCAAATAGCATATATACTAACATAATAATATAAACATTTTTTGATTGAAATCATGAGTCAATTCAAGCTAGGCCACCATGGAAAACCTGGAAGCACTGGACGGCCGTTTCGTCCTAGCATGGGACTCCTCAGCACTGCTGAGGAGTGCTGATTATCAGTAGACTATAATTTAAGCGAAGAACGATCAGATACAGAATGAACTTGTAACACCAGCTAACTTATTCTAATTGAGGGTGATTCCTTGTAAATAAAAAAAATTGTATTGTGTAAAAAGCACAGCAAGTAAATAGATAAGTAAT